TTTTTTTTTTTTTTTTTTTTTTTAATGCTTGTTAATGTTCATTATTAATGATTAGAGCCTTTGTGATATTTGCTTCTTGCTTCGGACTGATCTTTCTCGTCCCTTCTTTGTCTCCTCTTTTACGCTTGTTTTCGCACTTCCATTTAGAATAATGAAATTTTATTTGGGGTGCCTTTATATCCCTTGCTTAACATGTTTGGTTCCTTATTGGAGTTTGTATACTTTGAACATTTTTGTTCCTTTTCATCTCATTGTTTAAAAAATAATGGAATTTGGTTTTCATTTTAAAAGAGGCAAAATAATGTGAAAATCTTGAGTCTCCAAAATTTAATAAATGTCTGATGAAACAATCTTGGTCTATTTTGTTGCCTAAGGAATTTGAATGATTTCAAATGAATTCAGTGGGTGTCACATGAAAGAGAATAGATTTCAAATCATGTTTTTATGCTAAATCTTTTCCGGACTTGCAAGATTTCATGAAGTTTGGAGTTCAATTACCTTTATTTTAATTTTATATTAATAAATCAAATTTATAGCCTACATTAGTAAACTCTGTATTTTCCTTTCTTTTCCAGTATCCAAACACAAAAAATTAATGAGATTCATTTCAGAACTTCGTTCTGAACAAGATGAGGAATTTTAAATCTATTCTTGGATTTTAAAATGCACTTCTTGCAATATCTAGATGCTAGGGGTTAATAATCGAACTCTTCTGCAGGTCTTAGAATACTTGGTGATGAGAGAGATACTCACATCAGAGCTTATTAATGGAGGTCCTCCTTGCCCTGGAATGGAAAGGTTAGAGATTGTCATGCTTACTTCCAGTCATTTCCTTGCATGTAATGTTGAACTATGTGGTAATTTAAATTTGTTGAGATATGCTATCGAAGTTTTCAGTTTCTTCTTGATGGTGCCTTACATGGTGTAAAATTATTTATTCTTTTTCCTTTTGAAGTTTTAAATCTAGAAAATTCATCATGGAGATATTATCGGATGTTTTCTTTTTAAGATGAGAAACAACTTACACTAAAAAATGAAAGAATACAAAAGAGATGATAAGAAATTCCCATTTATTACCTAGGCAATCATATAAAACCACTCCAATTGTCTCCAACAGCTAAGAGGATAGTTACAAAAAAGTATACCACAAGAACTTTATATTGAAGCTAAACTATTCGCTCTCTCCAAATAGTTGTTGGAACATTCTATTCCTTTCGAACCAAATTTCTCAAGGAAAAGCATTTATAGCGTTAGTACCCAAAATTCTCTTTTTTCTTGTTAAAAGATATTTAGCACGTAAAACTTGATCTGCGGCTTTTCTTTAATCATTCTAGAAAGACAACTACTGCGAATATCAAAGAATTTGGGCAATAAATGCCACCACTAGAGACAACTTACTATTGAAGAAGATATGATCCAACGTTACATTATCTTTTTTGCACAAAATGCACCAGGTAGGAAAATTTTGGATATTGGGGTGACGTTTTCTCAACCTTTTATTTGAGTGAATTCCTCCTTAGCATTGAGACAAATGAAGAGGTTGATGTTCTTCGAAACTTCTGATTCCAGATTTATTACTAATCTTAGTGGGTAAGCTGGTTTTCTAGGATGAAACAATGAATTGTAGACTAGCAATGTTGCTTGAAGAAGTCCTTGAAGCTTCCAAAATCCAGATCCTCTTGGCTTCCCTCTTTAATGGCCACAGTTAGTTTTAAACTGTTAAGAGAATGGTGACTTTCCTTACATCTCTGCATTTTGAATGTTTCTTCTGAACTTAAAAGAAGCAATTATTTCTTTATTGACAATCATATATCTTCGGATTTATATTTTTGTCTCTGTAACTCAGTACAGTCTTGGAAACAGTCTCGTGAACCAACATTTTTATTCTGGAGTAAAATTCCAATAGTATCACCTAAAAGTTTAGTTGCTTTAATATTTGTCGCGGATAAATCACCATATGTATTGTCTATGATATTGTGTCAAAGGCTATCTTTTTTCAAGAAGATATCTCTGCAGCCACTTTGACAAAATAGTTATGTTTCGTCTTTATCTTCCCTTATCTCCAAACCCCATCCGTCCACAGGTTAACCACCTTCTGGCGTCTAGTTGATTAGATGGTTGCAGCTATCACCAACCCCTCCTTCCCAACGCAAGTCTCCCGAACTATTTTCTGGATATTTGCAATTTTTGTTGGGAGTTAAACCAAGACATGTAATAAATAGGAGGCTAGCAAGAACTAAATTAGCAATGGTTGTTTTGCCTGCTTTAGGCATGAAGAATTTCTTTTGGTTTTCAATTTTTTAGTTCAATGTTAGCTGAGTTCCAACATGTGATTTTATTAGGATTTTCCACGAAAGTGACCATAGACAGTTTGTAGGCCGTTCTTCCAACTTGCGTTTGAACAAAACAGCTTTAGCTTCTACAAGATCCCAGCTTGTATTGATGTCATTTATGGTTGTTTTACCCAAATTAACCTCCAGAAGCCAATTTAAACGCATACAATTTTTGTGGATAATGTATAGCTCACTGCTTCTTTCTGGTGTCAATAGTTATAGGATATTCAATAGCAACCCCCTCTCCATGATTGTTCAAGATTGTAATTGTAAGTAGCTGTTTTTGGTTGGAGAATTCCTCCCCGGGCCCTTAGATTTTCTTTTCTTCTTTTTGATACATTTCTCATGGCTTAAACATTTTTCCGTCTCATTTAGGACAGGGACGTTTGACACAAACATGAGATAGTTGAGAGTTCAATTTTTTACTGCCCCTGTGTGAAGCCTTGCAGAATTTTGCTTTTATCTGAGCAGTCCAGATGTTTGCTTAGGACATCGGCCACAAGGAGAAGAATAAAAAGGGATTTTCTTTGCCTCGATCACCTTGGTGGTTCAACTTATGCATACTTGGATGTAGCAAAATATATATTTATTTTCTGAAACTTTGTATTATTTATCATTGTCAAACCACCCACCCTCCAAGAGTCCTTCTAAAGTAAAGTGAAGTTCTAGCACCTTTAGTTAGGTAGGCCATACAAAGGCGATATTTCGGACCATTGAGGAACTTGTACAAAATAAATTTAAACAGATTAAAATGAAATTATCATAACTGATAGGGACTGAAGTGTGCGAAGCCAAGTTGCTCAAAGTACTTGACATCAAATGTTGCAAGTAGTTCGAGTTGCAAGTAGTTTTTAACTATTGAGTACAAATTCCAAAAAAAGAACATGCTTTGCCAGTTCATGCATCATAGATGTGTTTGCTCTTTTCTTTTGAATGTATACTTCCAAAAGAGAAGAACAAACTTTCATCAAAGGATTTGACTTGTGTATCTGTATCTTTAGCTAATCATCTTCTTCTGCAGTGAGTAATAATTTGTAGATATTTTCCGCATGCGCTGTATTTTATTGGTCCTTACACAATTACGTTTATGCAGTTTGAGGGTGTCTTTACTGTCACTCACAGAGCATGACGACAAACAGGTATCAGTTACAAATTATTACAGTATTGATTGATCTATTCCAGACATTTGAACTTTCTTAAAGAGCAATATTGCTAAGAGTAGAGTATAAGAAATTCACAAGTACGATAATAAAAAAATTATTTTCAAATGAAAGATCTATGCAAAATTTACACACTCACAGTTCACAGTTGCTATTGCAATGTATCAAGAAAAAGGTAATTACCATAAATCTCTAATGTACACAAAGATCAGTAATGATAATTTTTATTAAGTGTATGCCGCATCTAAACAATTTTCTAAAGAAACACCAATAATTTTCTTTATACAAATATCAAATATAATTCATGATCCAGGCCTTTATCTATGGCCAAAAGCTTTTAAAGTCCAGTTTTGATGAGTTAAGTGTGGACCTACAGGTACATCAAATTGCCCGAAGTTTTCGAGACAGATGGTTCCCCAGACATAATAGAAAATTTGGTTACTCTGAGAGGGAGGACGGGAGATTGGAAGCTTACAGGGGTTCAAACTGCAGTAGGTTTACAGCATCTCACAGTTACCGGCTTGATCAGGATTCTAGACCCACAGATGCCATTGACTGTGTTAAGCAGTCGTCAATTCCAGCATCTCTTCCAGATGCTCATCCTGCAGAGGTCTGTTCTGTGGCTTCTACAGCTGGTCACTTATTGGATGGACAAAAAGTTCGTAAGCGTAGGAGTCGATGGGATCTGCCTGCAGACACAGATCTGAGATTCAAGGAGCAGAAGCTTGAATCAACATTGGTGCAGCAATTTGATTCCAGCCAAATAGATAGTGTTGGAGTGGCACCAATGTTGATAGACAAGGTAAACAGTGAAGATAAGGACTCCTCCCTCTCTGATTCTGTGGAAGTATGTTGTCGCCAAGACGAAAATATTAGGGCAGATAGTGCAGTGCAAAACATCCCTGAAGATATTCCTCCTGGATTTTCATCTCCCTTCAATCTCCCTGTGGCTTCCTCAAGTCCTTTTTCAACAGTTTTAGATCCTCCTCGACAGAGTATTGGCAATTTGAGTTGTGCTTTTTCCACGGTTGGGCATCCACAGGAAAGATATATTTCTCGCTTGCCTGTGTCCTATGGAATTCCGTTTTCTATTGTTCAGCAATGTGGAACATCCTGTGCAGAGAATCTGGAGTGTTGGGATGTTGCTCCTGGTGTGCCCTTTCATCCTTTTCCGCCCTTGCCGCCATATCCCCGGGGTACGAGAGGCCCACTAATGTCTGCCTGTGGTATTGCCGATAGACAATGTTCTCAAGAAGGGCAGGTGAACAGCCACGATTCTCGAACTTCTTTCTTAGAAGGCACTCCTTGTACAAGTACTACATACCAGCAGGATTTGTGCATTCTATCAAACAACCAACAGATACTAAAACAGGCTAAGGATCTGGAGTGTGATTTAGGAAGAAGGTACTTTAGGCAGCAAAAGTGGCGTAATACACAGTTTGGCCCCCATTGGTCACAGAGAAGGAATCAATGGGGATACCAGGGAAACTTCAGGGGTGGAGCAAGCATTACGGGTGATGAAAATATACCAAACGAAGGGATAAATCCATATTGCTCGGATGAACCAAGCGTTAGAGTGGATAAAGCTAATGACGATTCTCATCAGCATGTGCAAAACCAAAATCAGCGTTAAGTCTTAGGAAACTCGTGATCTACTGAAATTTCAATAGAACCCAATGTACTCTCAGTTCTTTTTCTTACTTAAGTTGGAAACCTCAGTATGGTAGTGCTGTTGCTCCAGAATTAGTAGTGCTATGCATGAGGTTGATCTTTGCTGCCATCAGCATATTAGGTTTTGGATCTTTATCCATCAATCAGCACCTCAAAGAGGTAGCATTCTTATTTGTATATCATTTTCTCACAAAAATTAAATTGAGACGCAATGTTTAATGATCTTGGGAAAATAAAATTTTCATTGATTCTTGATGTCGTTTGCTTATGATTATGGGAGATTCGAAACATTTCCTTTTCATTTACCCTTCAAGCTGTCTCGCCTATCCTGCAAATTACGTGGACCATGTCAGGTGAAAGTAAGCATCTATATGAAGGAAAGTTGCTTTTGTTTTTACCCTCTATTTGTATCATCGGATATGATTTATTAGAAGTTCTTTGTAGTTGCTTATTTTACTATTATAAGCTGTACTTATTAAGGGTGTGATTGGAACATGTCGCTAAATGGAGTTCTCTAATCACCATTCATGACGGCAATTTTGCATTACTGATGAAAAATGGTCTGCAGCATGAACTCATCACAGGTACCCTTGTTATGTTCAATAGCAAATAATGTTGGATTATATTTTCTAAGATGATTGTCAAGCTGTATGAATGACTCTAGATAGGAGGCTCTTGGCATTAGATAGACCTTCATTCGTTTTAATACACCAATAAATGGGTCTTGCAAATTCAAGTTCTAAAAGATTCAGTTTTTAGTCAGAATTCTGGTGACTGTCTTTTTCCATTCTGTTCTTTTTGCGTTCCTTTTGTTGGATTGATCGTTATTTGCTCTCTCCTGATCTTGACCTCTTACATATATGGTATCCTGTACTTGTGATCGTGTTCTAAATTTGACGCGCAAAGCTGGGAAAATATTATGCATAGTAACTATATAATCATTTGGCACACTTTCTTTCTGATATCTGGTTATTTACTGAAATTTATTCATTCAGCTCATCATTTAATGGCTATTAATATTCTGTTATTTCCTATTTCGTGCAAATCTTCCATTTTCAAATTTGACTATGGAATTGATATCCTTTGTTGAATTGCTTTGATAATTGCCATATTGCTCATTTAGCTTGGACTAGCAGGAAGAATAATAAGAGAAGATGTGTTTACATTTTTAATGGCTGGCGAATCATTAAGTGATGTTAATGGGTAAGGGGATCGAGCGTTTCCAAGAGTATATATTTGTGAGTAGAGACCAACTCGGTAGAGAAGATCTATAAGTTATCTAGGAATGGAATGTTGGAATTCACTTCGTTCTTAGAATAGGTACATTTCTTTAATATTACCCTTTGATTTGAAAAGTCATTAGACTGTTTGTTACTCTGATATTGTTGTGTATTTTAGGAATTCAAGGGCCTCGATCGATCTCGTGTATTGCAGATTATCGAACTCTTTATCAAACTATAGAATTATAGAGTTAGATATATACACAAAAGCTACAAAGATCAAGTTTAGTTTCATTTTCAGTTGGTTAAAAGATCTTAAAAAGAAGGGTTAGTTGATATTATGATTGAGAAAGTTCGGGTTTGTTGTTGTTTAAGCTATTAGGAGGTTAATGAAGGAAGCAAAGCAAGAATCATTTGAGTTAACTGCCACCAGGTTTCGTAAATTACATACTCATTTCCCTTCCTTCCTTCATTTTATTGGTTTGTGTGTAGCTCATCTGTCTTTTTGGATTTTGATGTTGCATCCTTCTTTCCACGTGAAAATGTTTAGACATCTTATTTAAATTTCGCTTTCAAAATAGGTTACTTAGTCGTATTGACAAGAGTTCATCATGTTTTCAAGCTAGAAAACTTTAGGACCAGAAGCAGAAGAATTTGTTCCCATAAAAAAATGAAATATGTCGAAACTTTTTTGTTTCGAAAATTAATGAAATCCAAAATAAATGTTCGATAGAAATACAAGTTGATTGGTTAATTCAATCTAAAATGAAGTGACTAAATGTGTAATTTAACTTTAACGAAGTTTTATCTTCGTTAATATCAAACCATAAGAACAAAAGTCCTAAAAAATAAATTAAAGAAAATAGTTATAAACACAATGAAATTTGGTTATATGTTCCCTAACCATCATTAGATCTATAAAAGATCTGTAACAATTATTATGGATAGCGAGATCTGAGCCGTTGATCATGAACCGGATCACAGGATCATTAGATCTTCCACAAATATTGAGTTAGATTTTGTTGCATCATTATCCAATCCAACGGCTCACATTATTATTATTTTATTTTATTTTATTTATTATTTTTATTTTAAAAGGCTCGAGTTATTGACTATATTATTTATTTATTTTTATATATATTTAAAGTAATTTATTTTAATTATTACACGAACATTAATGGCAACCGACAGAAAACGATTCTTTTGGCTGTAGAGAAATGTTAGGAGTGTTACTTCTTTTTTTTTTTTTTTTTTTTTTTTTTTTTTTTTTTTTTTTTTTTTTTTTTTTTTTTTTTTTTTTTTTTTTTTTTTTTTTTTTTTTTTTTTTTTTTTTTTTTTTTTTTTTTTTTTTTTTTTTTTTTTTTTTTTTTTTTTTTTTTTTTTTTTTTTTTTTTTTTTCCTTTTTCTTCTTTTTTTTAATTATAAAATAAAGTCAAACATGAATTGTAATAATTACATTCACTACTTTTAAACAAAATAGTCAACTCTTTGATTTTTCCTTTTTTTTTTTGATAAATATTATTTTAAATTCCTTAATTAAGTAATTCATAATAAATAGTTAGATTTTTTTTGTTAATAATAATTTACATTAACCCATTGTGTCATATAATAGTTGTCTTTGATTTCTTTTCTCAATGGTCTAGAGTCCTTCGACACATAAAATCCAACCGACCTACAACAAAATTTGACTTTTCTGCTCGAAGAAATTTTTTTTAAAAATTAAAGATAATTTTATTCAAAATATTACGTCAACTTTTTTAAAAAAGTAACAGTCTTCATCGTCTAAATAATCTTATATGTATTCTAAAATAAAAGTAGTATAGAATTAAAATAAATGAAATAAACCCAAAATATATATGTTTAAAAGATATTATTATTATTATTAAAAAAAAAACAAAATTAAATGGGTAGGCAGGATATTTGTATTTGATACCTCTGTGCACGTGAAACCCACGTACTTTTTTCCACCGACACCCATCCATTTAATTTCATATGCCCTATTTTTCATTTTAATCTATCCACATTTTTTTTTATCCTATCCAATTTCATGCCTCTCAAGTTCTTCCTTCCTTTATTAATTATTATATTTTTAAAAATCACCTTTCCTAAAAAAATAAATACGTCTAAGTCACGAGATACTTTAATTTAACGATGACACTACTATGTATCACAATCATGTTTGTCTAGAACATACTGTCCGTAATCACGTGTACGTTGCATGTCAACTCTTCAAGCTGTACTATGCTATCGTTATTTTCTAACTGTATGACGTTTCGGTAAAACTATATCTACGTTTAATAGACTCGAAATACCTTAAAATGTACCGGGTTAAGAGTGAGTGTCATTTGGGAACGACCCAAGAAAATGTGATTATGACAATACGTGTAACAATTTATTAATGTTTATATGATTTATCTATTATATATAAATTTAAATTTTGTATCTAATTAAAGAGTAAATTTATAATTTCGAAAAGTTAGATACAAAGTTAATTTATAATTTTGAAAATTCACAAAGTTTAAAATTAAATTTACATTAAAAATTAAAGATATATTAAAATTCAAGTTGCTTGAAGAAGTGTTTACTATATTTGTAGTGTGGCTCGAGAAAAAAAAAATTACTTGGGAAAGTGATGCACGTGGGCGGCAGCTTGAGGTGCACGTGATACAGCGTAGCCGGAGGCATAAAAGAAAAGGGCCCACAACGCGTGGAACACGCCACGTGTACGGAGGTCACGTGAGGATTGTTTTCGAGGACGCCAGCGTGGCACCGTTACGGAGGGGTAGTTTCACCGACGTCACGGAATTAATTAATCGGATTTCGCGCCAACTCCCATACGCCGCTGTCCCTGCCTTTGGCGCCACACAAAAATTTGATTTTTTATTTTTTATTTTTTTAAAATTAAGAAAATTAATGAAAATTTTAAGAATATTAATTTTAAAGTTTAAAATATTATTCAAAATTTTTAAATTTTATAAATATGATATTTTTATTAAATTAATTTTAATTTATTTTTTAAGAAAACTATTTCACTTTTAATCCTTCCATTTGTGTAATTATTTCATTTTAGTCATTTTAGTCCACGTAAAAATGTTTCTTAATTATTTAAATTATAAATTTATTTAATTCGAACCATTTTTATTAAATAATAATTTTACATCAATTATATTATAAAATTTATAAAATGTATGTCTGAATTGATTAGTTGTTTAGAATATTTATTCAATTTATTTAATAAAATCAAATATTAATATAAAAACGCATATTTATTTATTTTTCAAACATTCCATTAAGAATTTAATTTAATTTCAATATATTATAAAAAATTTATGAATTAAACTTCTAAAATTTTAATTTGTTTAACATAATTCAATCTTCGCTGTAGCTTGGATTGATCGAGTTCTTTATGTCACGAGGTCTTTTAAATACCCGTACCTATGAATTCAAAGTTAAAATTGTTAAGAGAGATAGCAAAACGTTTAAATGTTAAAATAATGATAATGACTAAAATAATTATTTTTTAGATTAAAATTAAAATTAGTTATTTTCTCAAAATTCATAATTAAAAGATAAAATAAGTATGAAAATGTGGGAGTTTAATGATATTTAAATTCTTAAAAATAAAAAATGGAAAATTGACACAATTAATTTAATTCCACGTTTTTCTCCCCCTAAAAAGACCATGTCATATATATATATATATATATATATATATATATATATATATATATATATATTAATCAATTATTGATATAATAAATATTAGAATAATTAAAAGCAATTACGTCATTTTAATGACCAGATGTTTGTTAATTAAGTGATTGGAATTGGGAATTTATTCTTTGTATTATTGTTTAATTAACATAGTGATTAGGACGTGCTTTGATTAAGATTTAAAACATACGGCGGGTGGCTTTAATTTTTTTTAAAAAATGACAAAATTAAAACCAATTTGCAAATTTAATTATTTTTAAAATTTGAATATTTTGTTAAAAAATTATGAAAAATCAAACGTAATTTCTAAAAAACAAAAAAATGGTTATTAAATATTACCTTAATATTTCTTTACAAAAATTAAATTATTACTCAAATACTAAAATATTACAAAATTTTTAAACATTTTTTTATATTTAAAATACTTTTAAACAAAATTATTACTCATTAATCCGAAAAAATAATTGTTTGTTTGATTGCTTTTGGAAGCAAAATTATGACGGCGGTCGTTATTTATTTATTTATTTTTAAGTTTTTACAATTAAAAAATCTTATCAATTAAGAACATTATTATATACAAAAATATGTATAATTTATCGTTTAAATATGTATTTATTTCAATATAAAGCAGTTGGTTAAAATAATTCAACCGACATAAAATATTATTTTTAATTAAAAATTGACCTTTTTAAATTATTTAAAAAATTATTTAAACATCAGTATTTATTTATTATGGTAGCATAGCTACTCTTTTCTCGATCACATACGAGAATGGTTGTCAAATTTCCATAATTATGAGACATACTCAAAATTCTTGTATTTATGGAAATTATGTAATAAAAAATATTTAATTTTTTTTCAAATTCTACGCATTTATTTCTATTTTGACCCGTTAAATTATTATACTAAAAAAAAATATAAACATAATTGTTAATAACTATAAAAACAAAAAGTTGATAGGGTTGAAAACTAATTACCAAATTAAAATATAATTTTTGCATAAAAATTATTATTATTAATTATCCAAGACTAAAATTATATAAATAAATCACATTTTTTTTTAATTAGCTAAACTTTTATTAAAATGGGAGCGGATGCAGCGGAATATTTCTCACTTGCATTCGAACTTTTAAATTTATTATTTAATTTGTTTTTTTAAGTCACTTTCCCGGCTGGTTTGCGAACTTGAAAAGCGAACAAACGAACGCACGCTGTACTCCGAACCTGTCTCTCTCCCGCTTTCTTTCCCGATGCTTTTGATCATATAAATTAAAATCAACACCAAATGATCCTAACCCACCGGCGAATACACGAGCACGACGGAACTTGACCCACAAATTTACAGAATCGTGGCTTGATTTCGACCCACAAGATGAGATTGCTCCAAAATGGGGTCGCCGGCGAGCCACTGCAAGTTGATTCCGGCCGTTCTGTGCTTGTGGGCATGAAATTAGACTCCCATAGTAGAGAGCTGCTAACTTGGGCTTTGGTTAAGGTCGCTCAACCGGGTGACCTTGTGATCGCTCTTCATGTTCTTGGCAGCGATGGTGAGTTGATTTTTGTGTTTTAGGTTTTAATTTTTTATGTGGTTTTGTGCGATTTCGGAGATTTGTTCAATGTTTTAGTGAAATTGACTGATTTAGTGAAATGGGTTCTGTAGAAATCGTTAATCGTGATGGGAAATCTTCGCTTCTTTCTCTTGTGAAAACGTTCGACTCTGTTCTTGCTGTTTATGAAGGTTTCTGTAACTTGAAACAGGTTAATCTTCTTCCGATTTCTTCGTTTTGATCGTTTTTGTTTCTGGATGAAGATTGAAATCTGTTAATCTGTGTAATGAATATCGAGAATTCTTGTAAACTAGATGATTTTGGCCCGAATGTTGCAGGTGGATTTGAAGCTCAAAATCTGCAGGGGAGCATCGGCTAGAAAAATCTTAGTTCGTGAAGCAAAATCGTATTTTGCATCTAATTTAATTGTTGGGACTGCTCGAAAACACCATAAAATCCGTTCATCGAGTTCTGTTGCCAAGTACTGCGCTAAAAAATTGCCCAAAGATTGTTGGGTACTCGCTGTTCATAATGGGAAAGTGACATTTGAACGAGCTGCAGTGGCTACAGGGGACTGCCAAGGTTTGTGTTATTTTCATTGTGTGTGCTTCATTTGAAGTGTTTTTGTGGTTCAGTTGAATTTGATTTCTGCAAATCTAATAGGAAATAAAGTTGAAAGTGATCTGGGAATTGGTAAGGATTCGGATCAGGGATTTGCAAAAGGCGTAATGGATAGTTCTTATAAACCGAACTGCTCATTTGTGGATCGGAGTCGAGTTCTTTGGTACAATCTGCAGTGATATCTTCTGGTGATGGAGATGAACTTGATGAATCTTTAGCCATTGTTCCTGTTCAAAACGTTGAGGTAGCTTCGAGTTCAATTACTAAGTTGATCAAGGAATTGCCTGAAGTACAACCCGGTTGGCCTCTTCTTCGCCATGCTGATCAATCCGGTCGACGAGCTTCGTCCGACAAAGCCTTGGCCAAGCAAATCTCTGCAGTTCAATGGGCAATGAGATTGCCTAACCGGTCTGCTTCAGACCCTGCTGCTTTGGATTGCAATTCTAATACATCTGGTCAAGCTATGGTTCTGGTCGGTTCTGAACTGGTGGCTTCTTCGCTCTCCCCCAACCCCTGTTCCATACCGAAAGAATTGGAAGGTTTTCATGATAAATACTCGTCGTCGTGTAGATTGTTTAGTTATCAAGAACTCGTTACAGCAACGTCAAATTTCTTACCTCGTATGTCTTGTTTCTTCCATGACTTATGCTTCAAGTTCTGTAAATTTAGTCTTGTTGTGAATGTACTGCCTCTTTTTTCAGAAAACTTGATAGGGAAAGGAGGAAGCAGCCAAGTTTTTATAGGTCGTCTTCCCGACGACAACGAGGTTGCTGTCAAGATCTTGAAGCCATCGGAAGACGTTTTGAACGAGTTCGCTGTGGAAATCGAGATCATTACGTCCTTAAGCCACAAGAATATCATTTCTCTCTTGGGATTTTGCTTTGAAGATAGTAAATTCCTGTTGGTTTATGATTTCCTGTCCAGAGGATGCCTTGAAGATATCCTTCATGGTATTAGCAACCTCTAATTGTGCTTTTTTGTTGCAACAAATATCAAATTTCCTTGAATTTGAAGTTCATTGATCATCATAAACCAGGGAATGGAAAGAGTTCAAATGCATTTGGCTGGAGCGAAAGGTATAACGTAGCCGTCGGTGTAGCCGAGGCATTGGATCACCTTCACAGTGATTCTCAGCACGTGATCCATAGGGATGTTAAATCGTCGAATGTTTTGTTATCTGACAATTTCGAACCGCAGGTGCTACAAACAGATGCATCTATTTTCTAGTAGACATGGTTCTATATGTACTAAGTTTCTAGATCCTCATGGTACTCTTTCTTTCTTCAGTTATCAGATTTCGGGCTGGCGAAACGAGCATCAAAATCATCGCATGTAACCTGTACTGATGTTGCAGGAACGTTCGGGTTT